AGTAACAGAATGCCATCTGTTCTTCAAAAGTAAGCAGATTAACATTCAGGACAGAAGATGTGGGCAGTGTAGGGGTCCTTGTGTGGGATCTGGCCCGACAGCTTGGAGAGCAGGAGTTCTGCATGGCCTCGGGAGTGACCATGGGGACCATCAGAGGCAGAGGTAGGGGTAGAGTAGACACAGTGGCTCAGCAGGGTGGGTTGGTGAATTTAGGTTTTATTCCAAGTGCAAGAGAAGCCTTTGTCTTTGAAAACTTATTTGGAAATAATTTTACGTTTACAGAGAGGTTGCAAAGATAGTACAGAGAGTTTCCATTCCTCCTCCTTAGCCTCCCCTCTCATGTTAGCAACTTACATAATCATGGTCTATTTATCAAACTTAACACTGATTCAACCCTTCTAAACAAGTTATAGACAACTCAGAGCTCACCAACTTGTCCACTTGTGTCCTTCCCCAGCCTCTGGAGCCCACTGGGCCCCCACATATGTGAGTCCCCATGCATCCCCTGTTGGCTTCTGGGTCTTGTCTTGCTTTTTATGATCTGATGCTTTGCAAGGGTAGTGGCCAGGGGTTTTGCAGAATGGTCCACAACTTGGGCTGGTCTACTGTTTCTTCATGTTCAGATTGAGGCTGTGGATTTTGGAGAAGACCACAGTGCTGAAATGCCTACTTCTCTGGCATTCTGACAGAGTAAGCCATCTGTGCAAGCTCTGTCCTAGGCTATACTGGCCTTGGTGCCTTCCATGGCAATGCTAGCCTTTTCCCCTACAAAGTGCTCTAGTGTTAGTCTCTAGGGCTGCTATAAAAAATCGCCAGGTAGCTTAAAATCATAGGAATTCATTCATACAGGGGACTGGGCCAGAAATCTAAATCAGGGTGCTTTGCATGGGGTCAAGCTCCTTCTGAATGTTCTAGGGGTGAAGAGCTTCTGCCCTTTCCAGCTTCTGTTCTTTGCCAACAGTCCTGGCTGCCTGTCAGTCAATCTGTGCTAGTGTCTTCTCGAGGTTTTCTCCTTGAGTGGTTTCTTCTGCCCTCATCTTTATTAATACAGCGACAGAGTCCTTATTTCCAAGCCTGGTCGCACTGACAGGTACTGGGGGTGGGACTACAAGACATCTCTTGGGGAGACACAAACATGTGACACCTCCTTTAGCTTACATTAGCGATGGTGGCTTTGGCTGTGGTGCAGGGCATGCTCTGCAGCATGGAGGGGCAGAATAGGAGCTGACTTTGTCTTCCAGGGAAGAGACAGTGGGATCCTGGACAGGTAGGATATAGGCCGAGAGGAGCAGCAGCTGTGGTCCATTTTGGAGGTGGAGCCCACAGGACTCTTGAGGGGAGTGGGTGTGGGTGGGTGAACATTTCTGGAAAAACAAGGATTGTAAATCATTCAAGGACTCACAGATGTTTGGCCTGAGCCACAGTAGGGTGTTCCCTACTGAGATGGAGGAGACCACTGGAGAGACATGGTTGGTGATGCTCTGCATGACTCATAATAGGACCTCCAAGAGGGAATCTAACTGTGCCACCACTTACTGGAGCCTCCCAACAGGGCATGGACAGTGTCAAGAGAAGAGTCTGACTCTCCTCCTCCCATTGGGGTTCTCTGCAATCACACAAGGCTCTGTAGAGACAGTGAGACCGCCTCAGGTCGCACACTTTGGAGATAAACTTAGGTTTCCAATAGGGGTAAAAGGCATGAACTTTCCAATTACGGGAGATAAAAGACCTAATCTAATGTTGTGTCCACCTGACAGCTGTGGTTGAACAGGCAGCCTTATGAGTGACCATACTGTCCACCTTAAGAGTTTTCTCTTCTTTCAGAAAATGACAGCTCCTTGGGGATCACAGGCACTTTGTGGGGAACAGGCTGCGTGTATTGAGTGCATAGTGTCTTAATGGCCCAGCATTGATCACAGATATTGACCTCTTGGTTTCAAATAACCAACATGGTTTCCAGTGGATCCAGATAATTAAGACTTCTCAAATGGCAACTAATAATTCGCATCTGCAGTGCGGCTTCATCAGGAGCTGGAGAAACCCATGCTGATGAGTAATGAAACACTCATCCTGGTGATCCTCTGATTTTCCTTATGGAGTCTCAGAAAAGTCATTTCAGCCTCATGACCTACTTTACCAAGGCTATCAAGTGACCTTGAGGAGTTACTTCTATTTAGAGGAAAACACTTGGGACAGGCTTGCAGCACTAGGGAGGGTGTCCATCTGGTTCTCAGGTTCACAGGAGACCTGGCTAGGAGCACCTAGGGGGTGTTTGGTACAGCTTTTGCTCCCAGCCTCTCTGTCCTTGAATTCATCCTTCACACTCTTACTGCTGTCGTCTTCCAGAATCCACTTCATTCCTCTGCTTCCAGACCTCTATCATTTCCAGAATTAAAGCCTATATTCCCCTCAAGATGGGACAACCTTGGCACATCCACATTCTATGTTTATGCCTCTATCCAGGCTTAGTGAGTGAAGTGGGTACAGACCATGTGCTTGGAATCTGGGCTTGGCCCTGTGAATTTCTTAGGTTTTTGGAATGCTCATACAGGAGCCCTGTGTGGACACCTGAACTATGCTTGCTTGCTGACTCACGCTCTTGAGTAGTAGTGCTTGCTTCAGGCAATGAGAGAGATGACAGATAAGTGAAGCTAGCTAGGAACCAACCCTCACCTTGGGTTCCATCCCAGCCATGCCCTGGATAGCCCTGGTACCCCATGGGTGCCCCACAGAGCCCAAGCCTAAGAGCTGGTACTGACTGGCATAAGCTGCGGAGTTCTCTAGGGTAGCTTATTATAAAACAACTAGGACAGAAACTGACAAATTGTTATACAAAACCTGATCAAAATATATGGTAAATATTTAAATTCACAAATTTATTATGGTAAAAGACATATTACCTTTAGTCCTCAAAACATCCCCCTCAGTTCAAGCACACTTCTTTTATCTCTCTTGTCACTTTTTGAAGCTGTGCTTGAAGACCTCTTTCCTGAGTGTCTTTATAAGCTGTGACAAAAAGAGTGAATGCCATAAGTTATGGTATGTTCCCACCCACCTTATCCAGCTCTCTGGCACTCTGTGACTTTTGGCTCTTCCCCAGAGTCAAAATGTCCATTAAAGTAAACATTTCTTGAATTAATTCAGCAGAGCAAATGGAACTAAAGACACTTGTGACAGAATTTCCAGAACTGCTGCAGAAAGTGGCAAGAATAGTAGGATGCGTGTTTGAAGTGTTGCAGATGGGAATCTTGTTAGTGTGAATAGCAGTGTGTGTTTTATTGCAATGCATTGCTAAAAATGTAAGCAATCATTAGTTTTTGATAACTATACGATGTTAGTTGTGTATAGTTGGTTTCCCCCAGTACTGCAATGTGGAAGGCAATGATCACGCCTCACCCTAAATATATGTTAGAATCTGCTGTATAACAGGTGCTTCCAAATTGGGAAATTGAAGCGATGCGTGCCAAGCACTCAAGGAAGGAAGAAACAGCAGGAAGTCGTGACAGCCTCAGGGTGCCCTGTGACCATTAATGTGGAGAAGCTGGACTCGGTGAGGCTGAGGGATTTGCCGAAAGCACCAGGCATGGAAGGAGAATTGGGGGTGTCCGGTGCATTGACAACTGGTGGTCAACTTGATGCCCAGCTGAACTGAATCAGCATGGTTCTGATTGGAGGGCCCACCTGAAGACTGCTGCCAGCAGCATAAAAAGGTAAACTGAAGAAGAAATGCGGTGTTGCTTCTCCTATTGCTGTTAGTTCCCCTGGAGGAGCTTACTGAGCTTCTTTCCTGATATGGACTCAGCTGTCATGGGAGGAGCTCAGGTCCTCCGTGTCACTGAGAATGGCTATGGTACTTTGTGGGGGAGCTCTGGTCCTTACTCTGAGCCTCACTTCCTGGCTCCAGTGCAGATCCCTCACTCTGATGGCACAAATCCTTCATCCCACTGGCACAGACTTTCTAGCTTCTACTGCAGACCTTTGGGCCTTCCCAGTGCAAATCTGTGAAACAGACTTGCATGGGACATTGCCATGGAATCCAGGGCCCCAGCTGGATTCTTTGGGGTCTTTAGTGTTTGGACAGATTTCCTGCACTTTTTGTGTTTGACTCTCTGAATGGCTATTATAAAATAATCCTATAAATTATGTGTCCTGCATTAAATTGTTTTCCTTGTAAACCCATGTCTGGACTGGAGCTCATGGAAGCAGCTGGATCCCACTCTGCCCTGGTGGGTCCAGCTATACAGTGCTCAGGAATTAACAGCTCTCAGCTCCTCAACTTGTCTAAACAAACCTATCTGAGGGCTCAACATGATTCCTATAGTGCCACAGTCCATCTTGGCTGACAAGTGTTCCTTTGGGCCCTGTCTCTTCTGGTACTGGTGCCCAGGGCAGGTCTACTTGGACAGTGTATGGGCAGGTAAAGGGGCACTGCGGTCTGGTGATGAGTACAGAGAAGGAAGCCTCTCGCTGACCCAAGAGGTAACAACTATCATCTCCACCTGTCAGAGAGGGAACCTAAGTTACAGAGCTATAACTGCTGAGGCCCTGTGGTTGGTAGGTGGTGGGGCTAGGATTTGAACCTGGGAGATTTAAACACAGAGACAGCTCTCCTCCAGGGAAGCCAGGCTGGCATAATGGATTCAGAAGCACCCTGGCCTCCTCTCATGTTCTGCTAGTACCCTCTTTATCCCTGGTATCTAACTATCCACTAGGTGCCTCCTCTGTGAGTCTGAAACACACACACATACACACACACACACACACACACACACACACACACACCAACACACATAAGGGCACAAGGTTTGTTGAGTGATTTCAGCTCTCTACCCTTGCCCAGGACACAATGTACCTCATCTTCCTTCTCTGCTATGGACTAAGGACCCCAACTGTTATGGTTTGATAACTTGTGGTCAACTTAACGCCAGCTGGATTACATCAGCATGCATTGAGAGAAGATGCTCCACCTGAGGAGGGTTGCCAGGATAAATAGGTGGAGAAGAAGGGCGATGTTGAGAGGGATTGAAGCGTTATGGAGGCATTGTTGGTTCTCCTACGAGTTGCTGTTTGAGCTGTTGGTTCTCCTGGAGAAGCTTTGGTCTTCACATCGAGCATTGCTTCCTGGCTCCGGAGGGGAAGACATGTGCTGCCTGGTCTCCAGGATGAACTCGTCACACTGCTTCCTAGCTCGTACTCGACTGTGCTTGTCGTCGGAGGAGCTCGGGGCCTCCGTGTCACTGAGGACAGCTGTGGTTCCTTTCAGGACAGCCCAGCTTTTTGTTGTGAGTGTGACTTCTGGGCTCCAGTGTAGAACCCTCATCCCACTAGCACAGCTCCTTCATCCTGCTGGCATGGACTTTCTGGCTTCCACCTCTGACCCTTGGGTCTTCCCGGCATGAATCTGTAAAAGAGACTGGCGTGAGTCCTTCTTGTGGGCTCTGGACTTCCAGTTGGACTCGTGGAGGCGTTGTTCTGAGCTCTGGGTTTTTATCTGGACCCATGTGGGACATTGCCATGAGGTTTAGACTCTTGACTAAATAATCTATGTCGTTAGTGTTGCGGATAGATTTCCTGCATTCTCCTGTGTTAACTTCCGGTGACCATTATAAAAATATTACATACTCCATGTCCTGATCTGAATTGTTCTCTGTGTACAACCCCTGACTACAATACCAACACAACTACTTCTGTGCTTTCCCGCCAGCCTCCTATGAGCAGGGAGACCCAGACTCTTCTTCCAGTCCATGCGATCTGGATTGCTGCACAGGTCAGCCCTGCTTGGGGACAGCTTGGGGAGAGAACTCCAGGGAAAGAGATGACACAGGAAAGGCTTTGATTTATTTTACCTTGGAGTTCGATGGAATGAAACTTAACTCCTTACTGACCCCTCCACTAACCCAAACAATGCCTTTCTGAGACTATGAAAATGGGGACCCTTCCTTTAACCTCTCACTGTCCCCTGACAATAGAGCAGGCTGAACTGTATGGCAGATGTAAGTGACATCCTTAGAGCGGCACAGCACTCGACTTGAACAACTGTGCCTGGTGACACTGATCTTGACGAATCCAACTCATGATCTTTACCTGATTGTTTAGTCCCTACAGGAAATGATGAATAATTATTAATAGATTTTTGTTATGTTATGATTATTGCTATTATCAGATTTCAATTTGCTAAAAATGATTATGGTGATTGGATGAAAACTCCTGGTGTTTACAGAGGATTTATACTTTTCCAATAGAGTTTTAAAGCTATTTTCTGCCTGGTACTGTCATACTATAGCCATTTGACAGATCAGAAATTCACTCATGCATTGCTCAGTGAAGAAAAGTGAGACACATTATCAAAATCAAAAGCAACCCTCCAACTCCCCTAATTCTCATGAAGATTTTCAGAACCCTGGTCATAGTAGGGTCTGTGTAGTATATACTGGTGTGTGTGTGTGTGTGTGTGTGTGTGTGTGTGTGTGTGTGTGTGTGCTGTGCAGTGTGTAGGGTCTCTTTGTCCAAAGGGAACCTCTGCTCAAAAGTCTTATGAAGTTGTCTTTTGTCACTGTCCTAGATTTATTGCTTTAATTTGTTTGGTTTTGTTATACACAGGAGTTATGTTTCTTTTATTCTACCTTGGTTTCAACTTGCCTGCAGGGTATAAAAATATACTTTTACATTTCATCCTCTGTTGTTTCCTTCTCTGGTGACCAGTGTTAAGCAACATGATGATTTACTCTGGGCCAGAGGGTCAGTGTGCTGTGAAGTCATCTGCGTCTATAGCAGTCATATATTTATGGACAAATGCATGCAGCTGTGAGTTGGGGCCACTGAAGGCCACTGGAATCCTGCTGCTGAGCTCACATGTTCAGCGGTGTCGTGGTCTCTCTGGATCCCATCTCACTGTCACCACAAGATATGTGCTCTGTCTGGTGGAACCCAGGCCGCCCACTCCCAGTGGGTCTCCCAGACGGCTGCAGGGTGCTTGCCCCCAGGGCCAGCTGTGCTTTTTCCTGAACCCCATAAGCTGCCTTGCAGAGCCGCGGAGCCTGTTCCCTTTATCACGCAGCTTGACAAAGGGAGGTGGCTGCCAAGTGACTCTTCCCCATCGCCCCTGCAAAGAGAGCATGGTACCAGGGGACAATGTCACTCAAAGTTCTCACAATGAAGCAGCAATAATGATATTCTACAGGGAGGGCCCGGGGAGGGGACAAAAGGATGGAAGAAGCAGGAGGGAGGGAGGCACTGGGGCCAGCGAACCTGAGCATTGTGAGGCAAAGGCATTTATGTTTTGCTTCTGCCCTTCTCTCATCCTTCGGCCCAGATCTTCAGATTCTCATGTTCCTGGCCCCTGGGGTCAGTCCTCTGATCCCCCTCAGACTTGATTCTATTCCCTGACTCACATCCCTACCTGGCATTATCTCCTCTGCCATCCTGTTCTCGGCCATAGGATTCTGATGGCTTTTGGTGGCCCCTGCTTACAGCTGTATGCTTTTGCTCATAGATATTTGACTGCTACAGACCCAGATGGCTTCACAGATCCCAGAGCAGCACTGCTAATCCTCCGTTGCTCACTCCCTCTGTGACTCCATGCACAAATCTCCTTTTCTTTACTGTCTCTAGGACAACTGCCACCAAGGCACAGTCTCTGCTACCTTCTTAGACCAGTACCCCCTCCACTGTGCACCCCTATACAGAGCGGCCTAGCGATGCCCACCTGTTCCTGCCAGTAGCCTGTACCAAGCCCCAGGATCCTCACTGCTCTTAGGCTGCTTCTTGTTCTGACCTACAGGGCTCTGACCAGTCAGCAGTCTTAGCTGTGAACTGCAGCACAGTCCCTGTGAAGTCCGAGCAGCAAGGATCTACTGAAGGGTGTGAGTAGCTCTCTTCTTCCTCGGGAGGGCAGAGAATCAGTGCACCGACTGCCTCTTCACAGGTGTGGCACCCCCTCAGGTAAGGTCACCCTCCCCCCACTTTTATGTCCCTCTTTTCAGAGTCACCTGTGTGTTTATGGCACTCAGGTTGCAGGTTGCTTGCTAGTACAAGAAAGGCCAGGGGCCATTGCCTGGTTTCTAGCTTGGGGAAACATGGACTCAGGCAGGTACCACAGACAGTGGTCTGCACACTGCCTAGCCACCTTGTGTCCAAGAGTCTCCTTCCTCCCTCGGGACCTCACGTTACATGCCATTGTCCACTTCTGATTTCAGCCGCAGCCTGTGGGACAGTTCACAGCAACCAAAAATGCCTTGTTTCTCTCCATCGTGGAAAGAAATCTTTGAAGAAACACTGCTGAGGTCACTGCCTGGGCACTCTGAAGCTGTGGGTTCCTGCTGGAGTGACTCCTGAGCCCCTGTACAAGCTGAGAGTGTTCAGTCCACTTCTCAGGTATCCTGCTTCACTGAGCACCGCTGTTACCACATGGGCATCTCTTTCTTCCCTGCTGTACACTCAAATCCTGTCTCAGGCAGGTTTTGGGGTCAATAAAGTTCACAATACTCTTGTGTTGTGGTTTCACAGTTAGGGTTGGCATGTTCAGGAGCCCCACGGGGTCTCTGCTGTCACATATGCTGAGTTCAGTTCTTGGCATCCAGCAGGTCAAAATGGTTGACCCACTGTCAACTTGAGACATGTAGAGGTTTAACTAGGTGACTTGGCAGGAGGCCATGGTCCCCACTTTGTACACATCCTCATCCTATGCAAGAGGAGGTCCCAGAGATAGTGTGAGCACTGCCCCCACCCTGGAGGGGCTGGTACTACAAGGAAGTAGTGCTTCCTCCCTTTTCCCTTTTGTTGTCCTCTGTGTGTTTCAAATTGCCCTGTCCTTCCTCTTACAAGAACAATTATTGCTGGATTTAGAGTCCCCCTTAAACTGGTTTGATCTCACATCCAGATCCTTAATTGCATCTTCAAAGACTGTTTCCAAGTAAGATCATGTTTGCAGATACCAGGGTGATGGGGACTTGAACATGTTTCCTTGGGGCCACAGTTTAACCCACCTCATTGGGCACCTCCTCTCCCCTGCTGTTCATACCTCCCAAGCATCTATGTCTTCAGTAGAGATGATGTCCCTTGTACCTTGGTCTACCTCACAGCAGGCTGGGCTGGGCTGGGCTGGGCTGGGAAGGCTTCTTGACATGGTTTTGAGGATGAGTGGCCATCGGCTGGGTGACCTGGGAAGCTGATGAACTCAACATTCATGACTACTCTAAATCTCCTGTTCTGAAGGAAGATTTTTTCCCGTCTCTGGGAATGAGTTTTCCCAGAAAAGATTTTAAAAACAGCAACCTAAAAGCTTTGCCTGGCTAGTGCCCTTCTCCATCCTCTGTCTGGGCTACTTTGAGTTTCTGCTTCTTTATAGGACAGGGAGCGGAGTATTTTCCTAATCCCCCATGAAGGCAGGTAGCTTAGCCATCTGCCACGAGCCTTTGACAATTTACAGTAGCCACTCTGAGCCTCAGCCTCCTCACTGAAAAGTAGAAGTGATAAAAACTCGTGCAGGATTTTTCAGAGGAAAAAAACAAAGCAAGATAGAAAGGGTTAGAGCATGGATCTTGGTGTAGGAGCAGTACTCAGTGGGTTTGTAATGAAGCCTGCGCTTTACCTTAGGAATGCTGGGTGGAATGGACAGTTTTCTCTTTTCCGCAGGTGACCTCACTGAGGTCATATCACTTTCCAAAACCACCAAGGGGGCAGAACAGCATCCTTATAGATCCTGAGTCCATGGATTCCAGAGCTACGAGTGATATCTTCTCACCCTCTGCCTGGTTGTTCTTTGGCCCTCATCCCTCTCGGGTTTTTGGTTTCTTCGTAAAGCCAGGATTAATAGTCAGGACTGGGACCAAGAAGTCCCAAAGGAGGGACTGGAGGTAAGAGGAATCGGAGTCCAGACTCAAGGCTTAGTGATCCTGGGCCAGCGCCTCCTGCCTGGACATCTACTGTCTTCCCTAAAGCTGGTCATAGCAGTGTCTCCTGCCTTTCTCTTCTAGGTGTGGTGGTGAGCTCACAGTGTGTGTGTGTGTGTGTGTATATGTAGCTACAGCACAGCTCCTGTGCACAGAGCATTTCAAATCCAAGCGGGGCTTGTCAATATACCATGTGGTTCACCAGAGAAGCATCCCCACTTCCCACCCCGTCTCCCAGGGGTGCTCTGCTTTGTACCTGACTCAGCATCTTCTGGGCTCTCTAGAAGAGACTAAGAGTTATAATCGATTTTCCTGATACTCCTACCCCTCAGCATATTGATAAGAGAAATAACTTTTTAGAAAATGCATCTCTCATATATATGGAAAAGATTCAGTTCTCCCAGACAAGGTGCAGTAGTCTGTGCTCTCTGATTTGCACATGCCATGTCATGTACTTGAGGCAACCTTACCCTCATTCCACTTCTGTCCCCCTGCTCCACCTTGCTCTGAGCTCTGGGCCGCTTGGACTCCGGAGTCTCTTCCTGGTCCTCTGACAGGGCCTTTTACTTACTGCTCCCACAGGGCTCTGCATTTCACTTGCCTGTGTATTCAGGTGCAGTGCTATTGGTCAGCCAGGATCCCCCCTGCCTCTGCCTTCTTTGCTGCCACCCTGGCACTATCAACAGAGAGGCATCTCCCACCTGCCTTTGCTCCAGTCAGTCCGGAGACCCTGTCACAGAAACTCAGAAATGCAAATTGAATGTGTCTGCTTCAAATTAAGCATATTCTGGACCCATATTCTGGTCCAGTGGGCTTAAGTTGTTTCTTAGCCAATAAATATTAATAAGAAAAACAAACCACTCTTTTAGGCTTCTTTCCCCCAGCTGCTACCCCAGAGTTATAAATTATGTACCACCCAGGTCTGCTCTGACAGCTGGGATAAAGTAGGTTTCAGATTCAGAGAGCACAGCCCTCTGTTGAAAGGAAGCAGCTCTGTGCATGTTCCCTAGGATCCCAGCCCTTCCTGCTGCCCCACCTCTTCGGCTCTGCCGCAGCTACTTTTTGACTCTGATCCTTCCTCTGTTTCACCTCTTGGCCAAACAGACACTGTGTCTTTCAAAAAAAGATTTCACACTGCTGTCACAACACCTCAGAGGGATCTTAGCAGATAAAAAGGCCAGTTTCCCTCAGTGGTGAGCATGAAGGGTCAAATCCTCACTGCTCACATCTTCCTGTGGCACGATTTGTCTCCGCTTCTCAGCACCAACTCTGCCCAACACACTGACCCATTATGGAGGCTCCAGTGTTGCTCTGACTTCTTTCTGGTTCCTGAAGCTTTCTGAGGTCTCTCCTAGTTCCTGCGCTGCTACCCTCAGGACTAGGGGACACTGCGGTCTCTCTCTTACCCTCACTGTTTTCCAGGCTGGTTACTTCCATCCCCTGCTAGCTGTCCACTGTCTGCCCCGCACCATCTCTCTGCCGCTGACTCCTCGGGCTGTTGTTCTAGCACTCATAGGCTTGGTTTTTCCTTCATAAAAGCCCACATGTGTTCCCTCAAAAAATTCTCACTAATATTTACACTTGTGTAAGCTCCAGGTCAAGACAGTCAAGCAGCTTCCTCCGTGTCCTCTTGGTTGATGGCTGAAGGATAGTTCATTTAACTGTGCCTATCAGGTGGCTTCCTTTGTCTTGAGCTTGTCATGAAGGGAGTCACATGGACACACTCTCCTGTGTCTGCATTTTTGCTTCCACCAGTGTATTTATGAAATAAATCTAATTTGTTGTGTTTGGCAGATTGCTAAGAAGAAACGCACTAAGAAATGCATGCATGTATGCACAGTGCACATAGGAAGTGTCTTTTCTGTGTATCACAAAGATGATTTATCTATTCTACTTGTAATGGATGTTTTGTAATTCCTAACCCTTGGGGTTGTGAATGATGCTTTGCATGTTTGTTTTTTGTTTTTCATTTCTTCCTAAGCCAGTCATGGAACTTCCAGGTCATAGAACATAATCTAATACTGCCCAACAGTTGTTGAACTGATTTACATCTTAGTCATAGTGTAGGACAGTTATCCCAATTCTTCCCCAACACTTGTTACTGCCACTGGGTTTGTAGGCTCTTTGGTAGGTTCACTTTAAAATTGGTCAATCAGTCTTTGATTTGCAGGAGTTATTTATGTATTCTGAATATGAGACCTTTTCCAGTTATAAGGGCAATAATTATATTTTCTCAGGCCATAGCTTGTTTAGCACTTTCTTCAAGGTTTTGGTGAACAAAAGCTATTAATTTTAATGGAGCCAATTTGTCAATATTTTATTTTGTGCCTTGCATTTTTGTGGCATATTTAGGAAATCTTTGTGTATTCAAAGGTCATGAAAAATGTTCTGTTTTCTTCTAAAAGCTTCATTGCTTTAGCTTTTGCATTTGGGTTTATGAACCATGTCAAATTAATTTTTATGTACTATCTATGTGAGGTTCACCTTGACTTTTGAAATAGCCTCTTTGCTGGCACTCTGGAATCTTCTCTTGATTTACTTTAATTTTTGTGACCAACATAGTTGTCCATTCTGAAATCAGTTCCAAACTTATGCCAGTTCTGTTTAAAGTCATTTCGTGTTTCTCTAATAATAAAGTCTATAGTCGTCAGTTGGCTTGGGATACTTTTCAGGGTTCAAATGTGACTTACCTTTCTGGCTGTGTTGCCTTTTAATCCTCTCTCTGATGTTATAATCCTGCCTCTCTGAATATTTACTGTTAGTGGGTTGGACTGTGCCTTCCCTCACCCTCCTGTGGAAGTTCTAATGCCTTATCACTCTAACCGAGTCCTTATAGAGAAATTGGGTTCATATGAAGCCATGTGAGTATCTCCTAACCTGACACGACCACTGTACTTATAAAAATGGGAAGCTTGGACACAGACACACACCTAGGAAGGTGATGAAGGCAGAAAGCAGTGATGTGGTCCCGGGCTGTGGAGCACTAAAGTTTGTTTACAGTAGGATGGGGCAGACCCTCCCTCATATCCCTCAGAAGGAACCAACCCTGCAGATGCCTTGATTTTAGACTTCTCACCTCCCAAACCAGGAGGCAATGATTATGTTTCTGTTGTTTAAACCAGCCAAATCATTGTTCTTTATCATGGCAGCCACAGCAGATTAAGATATCTACTTTCACACATTCCTGTCCACTTGGGGACCCTTCTCCCCAAATTTCTAGTAAGCCTGGACTCAGCCTGCGTGCAGCCTGGCCATCTTTTCAGTGAAGACTTCTTGCCATGCCCACATTGAATGCCAGCCAGCTATCTCTGTTTTTTGCCCCTCTCCTCATGTTTTGCAACCAGGGAATTTGTGCACATCGCCATTGTAGTGTGTCGCCTGGATATTATCATTTGTCCCTAAGTCGCTACTCTTGCTGCTCTCTGAGCACCTCCTGTTACTGCAGAACCTGATGAACTTCAATCTACCTCTCTTGGACTCCTTCGCAGAAATTTTTATCCACCCAAAGGGCCCCGACACTTAGTATAGGAGAGCCAGACATCGAGGAAAGGCAGAGGCTCTTCTTGTGTCTCTCTGCATGA